GAGTACCAGATTGTGGCCGGTGTCATTCACATCGGGAGTACTCCTGTTGATGGCCACTACCAGGCCGTTTTGTTCAACTCTGGAACCGGCCTCCTGTGTGACGACAATTGCAGGCCACGACGCCTCACTCGAGACTTGTCCTTCTATGAGAACATCTACCTACTTTGGGCAGCCCCCATGGCTGAACTACGTACCGAGTTTCGTCGACCGATTCCATGGCCTCCTGGGGCCACACTCGGTACACTCATTTCCGAGCACCTAGGATGATGCAAGCACCTTGATGGGCCTCCGATCCTCTAGAAGGAAGCACACGTAGTTGTGCGGCCCAACACGGGCGGATCGAACGCGACCGCTGGCAGATGAATGAATGAATGAATGAATGAATGAATATAAAATAAGATAAGCTAAAAAAAGATAGTATAATATAAGATAATATAAGATAATATAATATATAACATAATTTTGTATAATACAACATGTTCTTAGATGGTGGTAGGCTATAGGGATTTTTAATTTGTTTTGGAGCAGCGTTTTGGTTTTGCGGGTATTGTTATTGTGTTGATGTTGGTGTAGGTGTTGGCTCTGGATTGGCGTTTTGATTTTGTGTTGTTGTCGTGTTGATATTGGTGTTGGATTTGAATTGGTGTTTTGGTTTTGTATGTATTGGTGGCGGTATAGAACGGGATTATGAATTGGAATTTTGGTTTTGTTGGTGTTTTTGTCGTATTGAGGTAAACGTAAGTGTCGGTTTTGGATTGGTATTTTGGATTTATTTTAATGATAATTTACGAAAGCGATTTCCGAAGGAAATTAATTGAATTTATATTTTACGATTAAATGGGTTAAATTAAAACGAATAAAATTATAAATTTATAAATGGCTTTTATTCTTTTTATTTTATATGAAGTAAATGAAAAGATTCTTTTTCTTTACCGAGTTGAAGCGGTATTAATTAGGGAAAAGGGCATATTATTATTCTTTTTTTAGGAATGCGATTTTATGATCGTCGTGGCGTCGTTATCGTTTTCGTTCGCCGCTATTTAAACGATGATGATATTGGATTGATATTTTGATATTATATATTTTATGCTTGGAATGATATTTTTTTGTTGGTTTTATTGTTGTATGAATTTTGTGGATATTGGTATTTCGCATTCATTATATAGTATTGCGAATATAATCTATTTTTACGATTATATAATGTGTCGGGGCGTTGGATTGTATGTGAATATAAATAATTTTGCGAGTATCGAGATGGTGAAGTGTTGTGAAATTAGTGTAGTAAATGTCGAGATGCGGTATCTATTAAAAATTAATGGTAATGGTCGTCGAAATTTTATGTTGATATCGGATTATGTGCGAGAATTTTACGATTAATATTGTAATATTATGTTTGATGCAAATATTTTTATTTTAATTTGAATAAATTTGTTACGTTTGTGCGCGGTAACCAAAAAGTGATATAAATGGAAAAGAAAGGATATCACTGAGGAGGCGTTGTAGGGAGCTATAGAAGAAACGGAATGTTAGATTATAGGGAGATTAATAGAAGCATGACGGAATATACGGAGATAAGAGGTTCGTTAAGAACCATTAGTAGAGGCATCGCCACCAAATCGGAGTTAGCCAGGATAATAATTAAACATTAAGGCTAAAAATTGACTTGCACCGAGGCCTCCACTAACCAATATGAAATTCCCAAATGCCATGAATGAAGGGCCTTAAATTTTAAGAAGCAACTCATCCACAGCATATTTGGCATTAGTCCCGCCAGGAGGCCCAATCTGCCGCCGCCGCATTACCCGCCCACCGGCACGGGCAAGCTGATCGTGTAGGCGAGCCCGCGCGGTATCAGGATTGCAACCTTTAACGACAGCTACGAACCTTGTTGATGAAGGAAGGCCCGGATTTCCTTGATACAGCCGCCTTGGGCTTCCCAAACCAGAGGGAGGTAAACAGCTCCAATTTGGTCGCAGGCGGTAGCAGTGGGGTTATGCACTCGCTTCCGAGCAGCGTAGCCAGAGGCAGCTGCGCTGCTGTGACGGCGGGTCTCATCCCAATAACCCTCGCCAAGAGCATTCATAACCGCGACCTCCAAAGCAAGAGGCGCCAGTCCATGTGGCCGAGATCCATCAGGCAGGCGAGGGAAAAGCCCCGCGGCGCCACGCACCAATATGTCAGCAGGTCGACGGCGACCCGGCAAAATGCCGGGAACCTCCAATTGGGGGCGAACCTGCGCACGCTGACAATAATCGTATAAAAGGTCTCGGGTTGCATTGTATACAACAACATTATCTTTCCCATTCATGCAATTCAAGGCATGCCGGCCCTTGCAATCCATGATCCGACCACAGAAGCGGCAAGGACCGCCCCAACATATAGGTTCCAAGGTGACCTCCAACCAAAGCAAGAAAATCATCTCGAAATAAAGAAGTGTCAAGCGCATGTAAGGGAACAAGGCCCAAAGCTGCATCAGCACCGTCTGCAGAATAGGCATGTAGTCGACAAGCATCATCATTGTTGGCGCGGGCCAGCCAACGAACACACTGGGCGGCACCGAGCTGAGCGCTCAGTGAACTCTGGGTCATCTGGGTACTGGGTTGGGTACCAAGAGGATATTGCAAGCCAACATCTGCGATGGAAGCACGATAACGCTCCAAAGTCGCATGTAGGTCTGTGCCAGGGAGCCCTCCATCCCAGCAGAACAAAGGCCACAGCGTGGCGCAGCATTCCAAGGTTGCATGGCGGGATCCAATGTAGGCAGCGTCAGCAAGAAGAACAGAGGAGCGCAGGCCCAATCCACCAGAGGAGGCAGGCAAAGTGGCCTGCTCCCATGCCAGCGCATCAGTTGTCAATCCAGTCATCTCGCAAAAGGTGTCATGGATAGCGGGGTCGAAGGCTTCCAAGGCATGGCCTCACCAGCGATTGGGCGTCGTGCGGGACAGGTATTGCACGCGTCCTGCCGCACAAGATCAGCGCATCAAGTAGTATCCATTCTGCACATCAGGAAGGTGAGGCAATCGCTGCAACAGAGCAATCTGCCGGTCGGCTCGTTCTGTGCAGAAGGCCCGGCAGTACGCATCAGAGCCACTGGGGGATTTCAACACCTCATAGTTCCCCTCAGGAGCAATATGACAACCAAGTGAGAGAAAGGGCTGAAAATCAACGTGACTGAAGGGGGCAGCTGGGGCAACAACAGCACTGGAAAGCCGAAGGCCCAATTGTGGTAACACGCCTTGCCAATGTTGGAGGGCACGGAGGACTTCGCCGGAGGGACCAGCCAGAAGACCATCGTCTGCAAAACAAGGCGCGATATCCAACTGGACAGGGGTGCGCAACACCGGCACGGAGACACTGCTCCCAACAAGCGGGGGCACCAAACCAAGCGACTCCAGGAGCATGCGCTGAACCACGGCATGGCACGCCATCATCAAGGGACAGCCTTGCTGTCCGCCAGCCACAGAGTCAATGATCACGTTGTGGAAAAACACCTTAGTGGCCTGGTGTGTCGGATAGATGTATTCCAATCATCGATTGATTCCAGGAACAACTTCATGCATGCGAATGAGGAAGGCATGACGGTCAAGAACATTGTGGGCATTGCTTTCATCATAGGATAAGCATATTCGGTCTGCATCGGCGGCAAAGGTGGTTTGCCATTGCCGGTGGAGGTGGGGCATGACCTCAATGCCAGCAGGCACTCCAACAGCAAGCTGATAGGGCAGGAGGTTCTCCCGTAGGACCGGCAATTCAGACCGAAGCAAAACCTTTCCAACAAGCCGCCGAAGAGCTTCTCCAGCACAAAGGGGCCGCACATCGGATTGGCCAGTCTTGGAAGTTTTCTCCAAGGTTGTGCCTTGAGCTCCGCCAAGGTATAGGCGGAGAGGGGCAGGCGCGCGGCCATCAGCAAATAGGTTTATAAGGCTGGTCAGAAGGTGAGCACCAGGAAGTACATCCCCGCCATCGCCAACGATCTGCTTCAAGAAGTCAGGGCGGAGACCAGTCGGGCCGGGGGCAGCACCACGTAGAAAGGGCTTCTCGGCCCCAATCACATCCTCAACCGAGACCTCATTGGCTGGAGGCGCCGGTGGGCGAGAGGAGGAGTGTTGGTGGGTAGGTCGAGGTGGGAACTTGTTGCGCATCGCGGCCACAATCTCAGGAATGGGTTCGGCCACAGGAGCACCGCTGAGGCGCTGCATAGCCTTGCCCGGCATCCCACGGCAGGCAAGCTGGACGGCGGCAGTAACTTGCCGCTCTTCAAGGCTGGAGATATGGCCGCGTGGGCGGCGAGGTTTGCCAACAGCTTCATCCCAGAGCGCCCGACGTTCTCCCAAGCCCCATCGCTCGAGACGGTTAATGATCACATTGTGGTTGCGGCGGCCCTTGGCCCGGCCGCCAGGGAGTACTGGCAGGCAAGTCTTAGGAAATATAAAAAGTTCGGTCCAAGCCAGGCGGCACCGTCTGGTAGCCATAATGTCCCGCTCCCAATCATCCAGACAATTATGTTGAAGGACATTGGCAACGCATCGGAGGAATTCCTTCCGAGCCTGTGGAAGCAGCCCAGCAGCCACAAAGTCGCGGGTAGCCACAGGAGCCGCAAAGATTTCATCCAACGAGGGGAGGGAAGCCAACAGAGCATCAGACAGTCCAGCGGCCCCATCAGCAGCCATTGGGGCTGCGGGCTGGGCAGAGAGCCGAGCCGCCATGCAGGTCCGATGCACTCCACCGTTGCGTCGACGATTGACGAGACGAGAGCACTCGCGGCAGCCGACCAGTTGGTGTGTCCGCAGCCAGGCCTCAAGCGGAGCGCCAGGAAGCACCCAAGTTGATGGGCATCCATGTGGGCTTTTAAGCCTGCAAGCTCTCCCAACCCGCATGGCCAGAAGCACCATGGGCGATGCAACCGGGCAAAGGGCAAAAGTATCGGCCTTCGCTGGGAGCGGAAACCGCCTCCATGTCAATGTCCTCAGGATCCATGGGCTGATCGCCAAGCGCCGCGGATGCGGCAGAAGCAGAGGCTGCTGCAGGTACCGCTCGGCGCGGGCGTTCCCCGCCAACGGGGGCCCCCGGCGATGGCGCCATGGCTAGAGTTCAAAACACTTAACGCAACATCAATCCACAAGGAAAGATTGAAGATAGTTTTTCTTGAAGATATTTTATTTTATTATATTGTCTAAAATATTTATGAAAATATCTTTAAAGATATTTTGAACATATTAAAGGAATAAAATAGATCTTAATTAAATATATATATAAATAGATCAATAATATAAAATTATGTTATATTAATAAATCTTGGAAGAAAAAATAATCCAAAAATATATATTTGAAATATTTAAATGATTTCTTTTTAAATCTTTATAGTTAATATCGTATATTTAAATAGTATTATAAATTAAAATCGAAAATATTTAAAATCGTCCTTTACGACAATATTTTATATAATTCCCCGAGAATACAAAGTAAATAATAAATCTCAACGAAATACATTCATATAAAATATTTCAATAATTATATGATTACCCTTATTCGATTAATTATTCCTAATAAATGGTTGTTTGCATGTCAAATATTCTTATATATTAATATTACTTTTATATCTATATCATAATAACAAAAAAATTATATTCTAATATAAAAAATATTTTATATCTATATCCTAATAGAAAATAGAATCAAATATAGAAATAATTTTCCAATTCCCAAAAAAATACGAATATCGAATTCCGAATCTTAATTATCGATTTTTCAAGTTTCCAATTCCATTCTTCGAATTTAAAATTTGGTATTTTGTCGTTGTAAATTTCAAATTTTGGAATTCGAATAATCAATTTCGATTCTAATTTCCGAATCCCATATTTCGAACCTCAAATATCAAAATTCCCATCTCGAATCTCGCAAGTATTGCGAATCTCAAATCTCGAATGTCAAATTCCGAATTTCAATTCCAAAGCCTCGAATATCGAATTTCATATTTCGATTCTAATCATTCGGTTCTCGACTCCCGAGATTCGGATCTCGTATTTCGAATTCCGAATCTAACATCTCGAATCTCGATTCTCGGATCCTCGAACCTCGATTATCGGATCTCGCATCTCGAATCTAATCGCAGATCTCGGACCTCAAATCCCGAAGCTCGGATCTCGGATCTCGAAGCTCAGATCTCGGATCTCGCGTTTCGAATCTCTCGAATCTCGAGTCTAGAATCTCGTACCTCGAAGCTCGGAATTCGGATTCCGAATTTCGGATCTTAAATCTCGCATCTCGAATAACACGCAAATATCGGATCATATAGGCTTTTCGGGGCTTTAGCCCAAGCATCAAAGGTATCGAGGCCATATAGACTACTTCACAGCCGTTCTTACCAATCATAAGAAGGCTACAACTAGAGACACACTTGGGCAAATATGGGATTGAAATTAAATATAAACAATATTGTAATCTGTGAGGTGGGACCTAAGATGGAACGATTATTGGCATCACCCAAACTCAAAATTAGATGATAAATCTAGCTAACAAAAATTTTTAATTAAATTGAAATTTTAATTGTAAATTAAATGTTAAATATGGTTACATATGTAATTGTATATGGATATAAATATTTGGTACAATAAGTAAAATATAATATGTATTCACCTGTATATAAGCCTCTGCAATGTGCAATGTTGCACCACATCTCAGAAGAATCGAATAAATATCCTATTTTGACATAAAAAAAATTACGAAAATTCCAAAATAATCCAATTATTTCGAAATAGGCACCAAGAAAACAATCAAACATATTCTTTTTTATTCCCTTCCTTTCCCAACGTTCCTCCCTCTTCCCCTCCCAATTCCGTTCACACCCATACGCTTCCCATCTCGCGCCCCTTTCCTTCCATCCTCAGCCCCGTCCACGCCCCTCCACCGTCTCGCTCCCCTCCTTCTTCCCTCCCCAGCCCCATCCACACCCACGCGCCTCCCGTCTCGCGCCTCCCGTATTGCGCCCCTCCCTATTCCATCCACAGCCCCATCCACACCCATCTTCCGTCCACGATCATTGTGTCCGTCTTGTCTCCCTTCTATTATCTTTTATCTTGTCTCCTTTTTGTTTCCCTATTATTGGTCATTGTATCCGCCTCATCCCTTCTGCCTCCCTTTGTCTCCAGTCTTGTTTCCCTTCTTGTGGGTCATTGTGTCCGCCTTGTCCCCCTTCTGATTCCTTTTGTCTCCCTTCTTGTTTCCCTTTTTGTTGGTCATTGCGTCCGTCTGCCTTCTTGTCTCCCTTCTTGTGGGTCATTGCGTCCGCATGTCTTCCTTTGCCTCCGCTTTTGTCTCCCTCCTTGTTGGTCATTGCGTCGTCATTGTGTCCGCCTTGTCTTCCTTTGTTTGCGGTCTTGTCTCCCTTCTTGTTGGGCATTGTGTCCGTCTTGTCTCCCTTTTATTTCCTTTTGCCTCCCTTTTTGTCTCCCTTGTTGTCCCCCTTCTTATTGGTCTGTGTCCGCCTTGTCTTCCTTCTTTCCTTTTTTTGCCTCCTTTCTCCCCCTTTCGCTTGTAATCCTTCTGCCCTGCAATATTACATCTATTTCCCACCTCTAGGCTACGTATCGCTTGCAATCCTTTATATTGTCATTTGTCTCCCGCTCTGGATTGCTATGTCCGCCCCAATTCTGGGCTGCTGTGTCCGCCTACCTTGCAATCCTTTATATTTCTTTCGCAGTACTAGATTGCTGTATCCGCCTCTGCCTTGCAAGCCTTAAATTTACATTTGTTTTCCAGCTTTAAATATTATATCCATTTCTACCTAATAATCCTTTATATGTGTCCTCGCAAGCCTTTGCATTTGTCTCCCAGCTTTAGATTGCTATATCCGCCTCTCTTGCAATCCTTTATTTATCACCCAACTCTAGGCTACATGTCGCTTGCAATCCTTTACAATTGTCTCCCTATATCTACATTTATCTCCCAATTTTAAATTGCTATAGCCGCCCCTACCCTTCAATCCTTTGTTTCCCGTCGCAAATTCCAATTATAAAATATTCCGATATTTAAAAAAGACAATTGTTTAGGGTCTACGGTGGTGTCAATTGATTTATTACTTAATTTTCCTTAATTATTATTGCGATCACGACGACGACGACGACGATGACGAACATTATTATCATTATTATCATTAAGACATATGTATCCCTAGAAGGCAAGAGACGTGCCGGGACCAGTGAGGATGAGGCCTCCGCCAACTTGCTGCCGAAGGCGAGCTCTCCCGTGCGTGTGCAGCCCTGGTTGCCCCACCCTTGATCCGGCATTCACCCGAGGTATTGGACAAGCTGCGGACCAAGCACCCTCGAGCGCAACCTGCTCGCGCTGCTTTACTGCCTTTGGGGCCCCCTGCGCGCACCGACGTCCCTGACATCGCTGCGGCCGACGTGGTGGCAGCGGCTCGCAGCTTTCGACGTGGCAGTGCTGCTGGGCCGTCTGTCCTGCGGGGAGACCATCTCCGAGAAGCCTTAGGTTCAGCTCATGGAGACGAGGTTGCTGCCCATTTAGCCGAAGTGGTGCAACTCTTGGTGCGGGGAGATGCCCCCTTGGAAGTTGCCCCACACCTGGCTGGCGCTGCTCTCCACGCCCTGCCCAAATACGGGGGCGATGTGCGGCCCATCGCTGTTGGTGAAACCTTGCGCCGCTTAGCCTCCAAGTGCCTCTGCCAGGCTGTCCGCGAACCTGCTCAGCGATGGCTCTCCCCCCTGCAACTTGGAGTAGCTGTCTCCCTTGGTGCAGAAGCCGCTGTGCACACTGCCCGCCACTAGTTCCACCGCAATTCTCGGCATGTCAACAAAGCTTTCCTCACCATTGATTTTAAGAATGCCTTCAATAGTGTGGATCGGGCAGCCATGTTGCGGGGAGTCCGCCTCCGATTGCCCGGCATAGCCCCCTATGCTGAGTGGTGTTATGGGCACCATAGCCGCTTGCTGTTTGATGGGGAGCCGCTGACTTCAGAAGCAGGAGTGCAGCAAGGCGATCCGCTGGGGCCGCTCCTGTTGTCTCTGGCTTTGCAACCTGCCTTGCGGGCTGTGCGCTCCGGCTCATGGGACCAGCAGCCGGAACTTGCCTTTGCATACTTGGATGACGTGTGCCTGGCGGGCACCCTGCCTCAGCTCCGCACGGCCTTGGCCCGATTGACTGCGGCGGCGCGGCAAGTTGGGTTGGCCCTGAATGCGACCAAATGCAAGCTGATCACCATGTCGCATGACGGCCTGGTTGCTCCCTCCAGCTTCCCTGCAGGGCTTAGCATTGACCGGTCGGGCGCTTTCACTTTGCTGGCGGCTGCCATTGGGAGCAGTGGTTATTGCACGGCTCACACCCAATCTCAACGGGTTGATGCAAGCAAGCCACTCTTGCAAGCTCTTGCGAGCCTCTTCCGCATCATGGTGTGCCTTCGGTTGCGGCTGCCGGTTGCGTCAGAAGATGTCGCTTGCCCCCTATGCAATGCGGTTGCTGATCGCATGGGTGACCATGCTCGAGCTTGCCCTTGTGGTGGAGATCGTTTGCGCTCCATCCTGGCTGCCCGAGCTCAAGCTGGTGGCCTCAACCCTGTCGTCGAAAAAGGTGGCCTTCTGCCCCCTCGCTTGGACTTTACCGGTGCCCCTGAAGACGGTGTGCAAGCCGGTGGTAGTCCGCATTTGACCTGGTTGCTGCATCTGATTTACGACAAGGGGCTGTGGCTGCTTCTGCAGCAACAGGGGTCCGGGCTGCAGAAGACTACGAAGCTCGCAAGCGGGCTCACTTGCAGACGGCCGCCACCTGTGCTGGAGAAGGCCTCCAGTTCGTGCCCCTAATCGCTGAGGCTGCCAGCGGCGGCTAGGCGCCGGTAGCCTTGCAAACTTGGCGGCAGCTGGCACAACGCGTGGCCGCTCGCAGTGGTGAAAACGCTGGGGTTGAACTTGCGAAACTACTGCAAACCCTGGTAAGCCTTCAGCGTTAGAACGCCCGGGCCGTCCTCTGGCGTGTGGGTGGGCCGGACGCCCTCCCTGCGCTCCTGGCAGACCCTTGATACGGCAATGAGGTTGAAAAGTGCACCGTCGGTGTGTTCACCTGCTCCTGCGTCGATCTTTCTTGGTGCTTAGCTGCCTTTTGCTCGAACAGCACCCCCACTGCCCGCTGCGCTAACATCTCTAACGGGGACTCGGCCGAGGCCCAGAGGTCTGGAGCGAGCCTCCTGTCCAAGAAATGAGGTAGTACAATGCTCTTCGCCGCTCTTTTACTCACCCGGCTGCTGCATAGCTTCATTAGGTGCGTTTGGCGTCGTTTTACGTCCGCTCCCTTGCTATTCGTTTCCCGAGGAACGTTTTACACAGCTCATTCTATGTCCGTCTCACTGGGTACAATTTCGTTTCCCTTTTCTCCCCTTATCATCGTCGAATTGGGACAATAACCTCCTATAGGGGGCATTAATATAGAAATTACCCGATGCCAATCTTAGATTTTAGAAAAAATATTCCTCCATAGAAATTCTTAGATTTAGTGTTTTAAAAAAAAATATATATATATATATTAAAAATTATGAAATTAACAATATAGACAAAATATAATTGTTTATATGTTTATAAAATAAATATAAAAATAATATTAACAAAATACAAAAATAATATAAAAATAGAAAAATACGAAAATAATATAAAATATATATTTTTTCATTTTTTCTTGTATTCTCCGAAAGTTGGTTTTCTCATTTCATATTTCAGAAATTCATTAAATTCATATTTTTTCAGAAAATAAATTATTTTTCGATCCATGGCAAGCTCCAGGATAATTATGTCTCAATATTAGCACTCCATTACCACCACCACTACCCCTACCACCACCACATACAACCACCTTCCCCATCACCACCACCACCACTACCGCTACCACCACTACCACTACCACCCCTACCACTACCATAAACACTACCACTACCACTACGACTACTATTACTCTTACACCCTTCTCCACATATCATTGAAGGGAATGGACCTCTTGACCTTGTTAATCTTCCACGTAGGCGGAGGGTCAATCCGATCTTCATATTACCCTACAATAACGCCAGAACCGGCTCCCTGACTAGAATCCCATAACTATCGCTCTGGGATGAACCATCCCATGTATATATAGCTGCGGACAATGGTCAGAAACAAGAATAATGCAAAACAAAAATCCTTAAATATCATGTTCATTATACGTAACCGCGGATATTATACGCAACTGCGGACAAACGAACATCTCCAAATTTCGGGAAAATCATGTTATTATCCAAAACAAAAATTCTCCAAATACGAGACAATTAAAAGATTCGTCCGAAATTCTCGGAAAATTTAGATTTTCGGCCTCGTCTTAGGTCAGCGATCATTTACATTTCTCGTATATAATTTCCGAGTGCAATGGGACCGTTTTATGCAATAACAAAAAAAATAAGTACCAAAAAAATCCTTCCGGAAAAAAAAACCAAACAGAGTGTGTGTATGAGTTCTATAAGCAGAAAATCTAGAGACCTAGACGCATTGAGTGAATGAGTAAGTAAGTGAGTGAGCGAGCGGGTGAATGAGTGCGTGAATGAGTAAGTGCGTGGGTAAGTAAAAGTGAGTAAGTGAGTGAGTGGGTGAGTCAGTGATTGGGTGAGTGAGTAAATGAGTGAGTGAGTGCGTGCACCTTCATTTACACCCTTTCACTCACACTCACCCACACTCACACTCACCCACACTCACTCACACTCACTCTCGCTCTCACTCACACTCACCCACACTCACACTCACCCACACTCACTCACACTCACTCACCCTCACTCACTCACCCACTCACTCACTCACCCACTCACTCACTCTCACTCACTCTCACTCACTCTCACTCACTTTCACTCACTCTCACTCACTCACACTCACTCACACTCACTCACACTCACTCACACTCAC